TCTCCTGTGATCCCCCTCAAACCCCCCCATCCCCCATTTCTATCCCCTTTCCCTCTCATTTCCTCCCTGTTTCCAGGAGATGTCCATCTTATTCCCAGGATATTCCCAAGATTAGCAGGATGGTGTCCAACGTGCTCCAGGCCTCCCCACCCCTCTCCCCATACTCTAACCCACTTCCCATTATTTCCCCCCCCATTTCCCAATATTTCCTTCCCATTTCCCAGATATTTTGTGGTTACTTCCGGGTCACTTCCGGGCTCACCGTGAAGGCGGAGGTGGCGCTGGTGGTGGTGTAGATGGTGTACTGCTTCTCACTGACGTGCTCCAGGCCGGGCCCGGGGTCGGGGCCGGGGGGTGGGGCCTCCTCCAGCGCGATCCGCAGCGCCAGGTACTTGGACAGGTGATCGACCGTCGCGTTCGACGTCGTTTTCACATACCTGGGAACGACCCGGAAACACACCCGGAAATACAACAGGAAATGGGGAGGGAAGAGGTGGAAGGAGGAAGGGAAAAGGAGGAGGAAGGAGGAAGGTGATCCACCATCGTGTTGGGCGTTGTCTGCACGGACCTGGGAAACACCTGGAAATACAACAGGAAATGGCAGAGGAACAGGAGGAAGCAGCAGGAAAGAGAAGGAGGAAGGAGGAGGAAGAAGGCAGGAAGAGAAAGAAGAAAGAAGAGGAGGAAGAGCAGGAAGGAAGAAGCAGGAAGAGCAGGAGGGAAGGAGGAGCAGGAAAGAGCAGGAAGCAGAGCCCGGTCTTGCGGCCTCACCTGGTCTGGGAATACTCGCCCTTGTCGACGAGCAGGGGGTGCGGGCGGAAGACGAGCTCGATCTCGCTGCTTCCCGCTTCCACCTCCGCTTCCGGGCTGCCCCTGCCGCCGTTCCCGGGCCCTTCCGGCGGCGCTTCCGCGTCGGGGTCGGCGCCGGAGTCGTCGGAGGCGCGGGAGCGTTTGCGGCTCGGCCCCGCCGCCGCCTCGGGGGGGCTCAGGTGGGGGTCCAGGTTCTCCTCTCCCCCGCTGAACGTGGCGTTGTCCGACTCCGCGTGCAGCTTCCGCACCCGCTGGGCCCTGGGGGAGCAGGGAAGGGCACCCGGGAATAAGGGAAAAGTGGGAAAAGGGGGGAAAAATGGGGGAAAAGGGGGAGAAAAATGGGGGGGATATAGGGAAAAAATGGGGGAAAAAGAGGAGAAAATAGGGAAAAAATTAGGGGGAAAAGGGAAGAAAATGGGGAAAAAACTGGGAAAAAGGAGCCAAATCCAGCCAGGCCGGCACCA